GAGTGACTATAGAAGTTATAGAAAAACTTGGCTTATTCTATTATTCAGTTGCCAATACTAACAGTAATACTAATTGTCATGGAATTTCAGTTTACACAGAGGCACCTATTGAAAAAATACAAGTCACAATTCAAGCAGGAGATCAAGCTCCTACCAAAATGGTGCGTCTAGTGACGTTTGAAGATCCAAAGACACAAGTATCTTCCAGCAAAGCGGCAATTAAAAGAGTGAAGAAAATCCTTGATGACACTGATGACCAGGTACTGCTGTAAAAATCCACTTCTAGATTTGTGGGAGACATTACACAAAGCTTATTTATTTGTATTTCTTTGTGGCCTCCTTTGTTTAGATAGTATACAAAAATTAGAAAATAAATACAGGCTTATGGGTACACAAGTCTTTCTTCAGGTCTTTTGCTTGCATTCATCTCTACTGCAGGTGAAGGACATCAGAAAGAGCAGGTTGTTTTTTTATTTTTTTCTGAAAATCTCTTTTAAGACACAGAATAGCTGTTGTGTGCCCAAAAGGTAGTCTGTTCTTTCCAGCTACTGCTACTGTAGCAAAAAGGCATGACACCTACCTACACAACTTGCCTTGAGATAGTCGCAGCTACAACTGCGACTACAGCTACAGTCGCAGCTACATCTTTACCACCATGAGTTACATGTAATTGTATGATCAACAGTTTCTACAAATGTTCATTATCATAAAACAGTTTGGGGTATTGTTCTACTTATGTGTGGTTTTAACGCTTTATTATGAATTTGCCATATTGTGATGCATTGCAAGAGCACTATCAGCCATACATCTTGTCTTCTAAGGCAGCAGAGAGGTTCATAGCTCTCTGTAGCTGATTTTACTTACAACCTTCTGCAGGAACACAGAAAAATAATTTTGTTTCTCCAATTGTACCATTGACTAGGGGGCAAGAAAATCCAGAAGCTCATCATCCAGTGCCAGCAGCACCAGCACAAGTGCTGAGAGTACCACGAGCAGCCCCTCCAGCAGTGACTCTGACCACAGAGCATCACAGGGAGGCACCCAGATAACTCTGAAAAAAAGACAGTCCAAAGTCAAAGAAAAGAAGTTCTACCCCTTTGGGGACAGCAGCAGTAGCAGCAGCAACAGCGGCAGCGGCAGCAGCAGCAGCAAAA